CAGATCAAAACTTACCAGAACGGCACTGCTAATTCGCTTGGTGGAAGGCTGGTACTCCTCCTCTTCCTCCTTCCTCTCCTCCTCAACTCTCAACTAAAAAATTAAAGAGCAAAATGGAGAGAGTGCACCACAGTTTTACGATTTAAAAGCAGGCTTCTGGTCCGGAGTGGACAGTCACTGATCGACTGTTGACAGAAGTTTGACAACCGGAGGTGAATGTAGCCAGCTGCTGGGGGCAGGCATTTAAGATATACGAGTGACCTATTGGATCTAGTAAGGCTGTGACCTCTGTCGAAGCCAAAGACGGAGCTGGACAGATGTGTTTTACTGGTCGGTAAACTTTTCTTAAGGAGTATCAATGGTCCCCGATCTAAACCGGCACGACAGCGAGCTCGTGACTCAATGGTTAGGGCGTAAGACTCTGGTTGAAAAGATCGCAAGTTCGAGGCTCGGATGGGACATCACTAGAACCTGGGTATGACTGATTGACGACGACTAGTAGGCCAGAAATGGCCATTTCAGTCTCCCTTGTCTTTGCCGGCAATACTATCTGCCTAGTATTATCAGCTGCTACGACTGTCAAGGCCTATGTCAAGGCCCAAAGCAGAGCGGAACAGATGAGTTCCATTAGCGGTCGGCGAGAGTTTATCAACGAGTATTAATCCCAATCCTGAGGGTGACCTTCCTCTGCAGTTTAGCGAAAGGCCACCTGTTCTATGGAGTATTTATTTCTGTCCCCCGAAGTGCGAACCACCCCACTCTGCAACGGGTTTTTGAGCTACGTGCAAGGGGAGTAACCATCTTTGCTTAATTGAATAAGTAGGCAACCGAGGCGGATTGCAACACCCCGGCCAAAGTAGAGTCTTGAAAATCCCAGTTTGAGCAAGACGGATTCTTTTTAACTTAGTTGACAAGCCTTTGGATTCCGAGGCAATGTCTGAACGTGGCTCAGTCACCAGTTATGTCTCCTCGTGCTTGTGTAGCGCCTTAACATGGCTGTAGAACGACACGCAGAACTCACCCTTTTCCTGCGTTTCATTTGCCGCTTCCAGTTTTCATACTTTGCTTGCAGAGCTGTAAAGAAAATGGAAAAATAAGCCTTTAAGTAAAAAAGGATACCATGAATTTACACCTGCCGCAGTCTGACATTTTACAAAATCCCAACCGTAGCAATTATGGAAGCTAACACGGAAACAAGCAACTGGGGCTTAGCATCACTTATATGGGTAGGCGTTTCAAATTGAACCACCATTTTTTTCTCCCTCCATTCGCATGTATATCTTCTTATATTAATGTCGGTTGGCCTACTTCGCCTATTGCAAGCCGGTTTTTATTCCTGTTTGTTTAGTTGAACTACAATGAGGTCACGACGCTAGCGCCCTCTTTAAGAGCAGTCCAATTTGGCCTATATTTAACGACTTTTCCAAGGACATTTATGCATTATGTCGACAATTGCAGTCATTGGCGGTTATAGATTGCTTTTTATTTCCCGGTGTTGCGATTTTGTGCGTCTAATTTTATTCCTTGTGAATGGAGGACGTTTTTGCTGAAAATTATGGAATGATATTTTAAAATAAAGCGTTTCTCTCTCTTTCTCGTGGTTCACTAAACAGGAGCTGACCACAGGAAAAGCCAACAATGCAGGTGTCTTTGCGAAAAATACCAGGGTAAATAAGCTAAATTGTATAGTTAGGTTTACGGTTGAGCTTCGAAATAAAGTAAGGATTAATGTCAGGATTGAACTAAAGATTGAGACTAGGGTTATTGTTAAGTGAAGCGTTAGGATATGGGGCAAAGTTAGGGGTAACACTCGTGTTAGAGTTAGGACAGGGGAATATATACCGTCCTGAAATTAAGTGCAGGTCGCCTTTACTATTTGGGCAGGGTTTCCATATTACCATGCCACATTTAGGGGGTCCCATGATTAATAAATACCAGGCCGTGCATCAATTTCGGGTGGAAGAGGAGGGGGATCGATAAAATCGATTAGCAAGCAGCCGTCCAGCCACTACGCATTTGGTGAAAGTA